AGACATTACTCTAAAATTGTTCTTTTGGGTTCTCACAGTTGGTAAAAGTCCGCTTCATCAAGAAGAGAATAACTGTTTCTATTCACTGACAAAGACAATACTTATTTTTCATTTGTGTCAATCCTCATGTACAAGGGCAAAATCTGATATGCGTTCATTGATGTATCTTACTTTGAATGGCCTCTTGTTCCAAGCCGCCGTGTGGTTAGAAGGGGAAATTTCTGGCGAATTGTCTAAAAAGAAAGACAATAACTTTAGTTTTTATTTATTTTTAAATTATTTATTTTTTTCTCATTCGATTGTTCATATTTCTATAGACATAAAAATATTTTTCATAAAGTATAAATTTATGAAATATTAGACAGCCATTAGAAATAATGGTTGTGAAGATAATATGCTAACAGAGAAATATTTAGGACAAAAATTAAAAGGCAGAAAGTAAAGTTGCATTTGTGCTGAAAATTTGCTTTTATATAAAACATAAATATCTCTAAATAAAATGCTTTATAATTGACGCTTGAGAAAGTGCAGTTGGCTCTTTGAAGAAGAATCTAATCTATTAATACATCTTAAGAACTGTTAGATCAGTAAACATAATCTTAATAAAACATACTTCAAAAAGTCAAAATAATTAAACAATTAAACAATTATTTTGTTGCTATGACTGATATCGAGGAAAAAGTAGACTTCCCTCCTTTTACTAGTGGATATAACATAAACTTTAGAGTCAGATAAACCTTGAATTAAATGCCAACATTGTTATTGTATAGTACCTGTGTGGCCTTGGGCAAGTCAATAACCTTTGAATTGCAATTTCCTCATTTGCAAAACATAGTAATTTTTATCTTCTATCATTATTGCAAGGATTAGAGATAATGAGTGTATGTGTCTCTGTGTGTGTAGTACTCAATAACTTCTAATTGTATTGCTCATTTTTTTGATTCATTGAGCCATAAATTTCATGTTATTAAGGATAGTGAGTTTGAAAGCATGTTTGCTCCTCCATTCATTCCTGTACTTAATCTTGTTTAACCCTGACAACAATCCTATGGATATTGTACACCCACTTTACTAATGAAAAGCTAAATAATCCATCCAGTGTCACACAGCTATATATGGAAGTATGGGATTCATGCTTAGATTTGTCCAACTTTAAACCCTATGTGCCTAACCACTAGACATACTGCCTTTTGATATACTATCTTCCAAAATAAAATCCAAGGATATTTCTTGGAAATAAAGGCAGGAAAACTACCTGGTTAAGAATAATTACATCAAAACATTACCATTTATAAGATGCACAAACTTTACATCTTGCTATATCTTTCAACATTCCAAGTTTAAATATGGAAAATTTATTTTTCTACATGATATAAAAATACCAAAAATTTTAATAGTCATGTCATAAAAAGCAAATGGCATATAAGCAAGGTGGAAAAAAATTCAAATTTTTAACACTTTGCCCTTGGGCACATCTCTGGCTCTTAGATTCAAATAAATTGCCAGAAGTCACCACATGTTGTTACATCAACCTAAGTACTACAGCCTCACTTTGTCACAACGGACAAAGTTAATGATTCATCCCTAATCCTGAAGGCTCCTTCTAGGATTAATTGATTCTTTCTACAGCTTGCCAGCCCACCCTCTTGTAGACCCTGTCAAGAGGATTTCTCTGCATTGCTTTGCCTCTTTCCCTCCATCTATTTACTTTAAACACTATCTGATCTTTCCTCCACCTACACAATCCAGTAGGAATCAAATTCAGTAGAAACCAGTCACTTAAATTGAGTCAATTTTGAAATAAAGCTTACTTCACTAGAAGGAAAGGACTAATTTTATCTGTTTCAATCTGACATTTTATTTCTCCTTCCCAGACTACAATACTGCTAGCATTAATCAATTAAATCAATTAAAATAAGTATTTTAATTAATAATAAGTAAAGCAGTTAAATAAGTATTAATTGATAATTATTATGTATCAGACACCAGAAAGGATATAAAAGTGAATGAGGTAACTTTTCTATCCCCACAATACTTACTATCTGTTTGGGGAGGGGATAAATTAATCTCCTATTAAGACAGACACCAACAAACTGCTATCAGGGTGCAGAGAAAGAGCCTACAATAAATCAGGAGATTAAGAAAAGGAAGAAGTTCATGAGACATTCTTTTAAATGGGTAAAATTTCAACATACATATAGAGAAGAGGGCATTCTCAGCAGGGAAGGCAACATAAACAAAAGACTGACAGCTGGGGGTGAAGCAAAGGGTCTGGGGTAATAACTTGCTGAGAGCATAGGCCACATGATAAAGAGTGAGAAGTAGATGGTAAAATAGTAAAATAGGTTGGGACTATATCAAAATGAACCTTGCATGCCAAGGTGAGAAAAGTTTGTCTTTAATAGAATTATGAGCCAGTGAGAGTTTCTAAACATGGGAGAGATGTGATGGAATCTAAACTTTAAAAGGTCAGTTTGGAAAAATTGTATTACATGGACTAGAAAGACAGAGTTGAGGCAAGGTTATGAAAGTAGGCATGAGGAGAGACAAATTCAAGAGAATTCAAGAAGTAGGACCTATTTTTTGGCAAGTGACCAAAGATGAGCTAGCCAATAGGGTAGCCACTAGGCAAATATAAGCACGTGAAATGTGGCTAGTCTGAATTAAGATGTAAGTGTAAATACATACTGGATTTCAAAAACTTAGTACGGGCCAGGCATGGTGGCTCACGCCTGTAATCGTAGCAATCTGGGAGGCTGAGGCAGGAGGATCGTTTGAGCTCAGGAGTTCGAGCCCAGCCTGAGCAAGAGTAAGATGCATCTCTACTAAAAATAGAAAAATTAGCTGGGCCTGGTGGTGCTTGCCTGTAGTCCCAGCTACTCAGGAGGCTGAGGCAATATGATCCTCTGGGCCCAGGAGTTTGAGGTTGCAGTGAGCTAGGATGATGTCACTGCACTCCCGCCAGGGCGACAGAGTGAGACTCTGTCTCAAAACAAAAACAAAAACAAATAAACAAAAAACTTAACGTGAAAAAAGAATATAAAATATCTCATTATTTTTATTATACTGATTACATGGTGAAATGATAATGTTTTAGGTAAATTGGGTTAAATAAAACATTACAATTAATTTTACTTGTTTCTTTTTCATTTTTTAATGTTGCTACTAGAAATTTTTGACTTAAATATGTGGCATTATATTTCCATTGGTCAGTGCTGGACTAGATGTCAGGGCAGAAGGAGACAGTGGACAAGCTAGAAAAGGAGTGGTAGACTAGGGCAGAGGACCTGGGCAGTGCAATGACAGAGAAGTCATAGGGGAATTTGCTGTATTTATTTTAAGAGGGTGTTATCAGCAGGTTCAAATTCTAGACAGGAGCCAAGAAAGATGAGTAGCAGTAAAAGGGAGCCATTGTTTTTTTTGCCCAGGTAAGAAATGGACCAGGTTAGAGGGATGTGATCAGTGGTAGGGGAAGTGAGCAGGTAGCTAGTTTTTCAACAAATAGCAAAGAGAAGGAAAATAATAGAGCAACCATATAGCAGGCATCATATAGCAGGTTTGATGTGGTTTTTTTCTTAGTGTAAAAGAGATCTGGATATGCTTGTAGGCAGAAGGAAAGGAGACACTGAAAATATAGTGGACAGAGGAAATAACTGATGAATGAGAACCTGTCACTGAGGGTTCTCCAGAGATTGCCACAAGAGAGAAGAAAAGTAAAGATACCAAGAAGGGGAATAGTCCACAGCTTATTTTATGTTTATATTTATGTGAAGAGATAATTTAAAAGGCCATTTGTGCATGCCATTTGTTGTATAGAGAAGAGAGAGGATAGTAAGAAATTATTGTCTGGCAGAAAAACTTGAGGAAGAACCGGAAGCCTGCTAGGGCACTTCCTTCCCTCTCGCAGCTCTTCCCTCCCTGACTTGGTCTGGTTCTTCAGGAATGTTGTCGGGTCTGCCTGGTCCCTACAGCTAGTCTCATACATTTCTCCTTCACGGCACTGGTGCCTCCAGTAATGGCTTTAAGATTGTTTCATCTGAAAGAACAAGATATTACGATTTTTCTGTGTAAATTTTGCTTTTTAGACATTACTCTAAAATTGTTCTTTTGGGTTCTCACAGTTGGTAAAAGTCCGCTTCATCAAGAAGAGAATAACTGTTTCTATTCACTGACAAAGACAATACTTATTTTTCATTTGTGTCAATCCTCATGTACAAGGGCAAAATCTGATATGCGTTCATTGATGTATCTTACTTTGAATGGCCTCTTGTTCCAAGCCGCCGTGTGGTTAGAAGGGGAAATTTCTGGCGAATTGTCTAAAAAGAAAGACAATAACTTTAGTTTTTATTTATTTTTAAATTATTTATTTTTTTCTCATTCGATTGTTTATTTAATCATTACTTAAAAATGAACAAAACAAGAGCTGGTAATATGCTTGTTACCATGCAAAGTACTACAGATAAAATAGTGAAAAAAATAAAAATGGTGCCTTTTTATATGGAGTCCAAAGCTCAGTGGGGCAGTGAGTGATGCTAATCAAACAATTGCACAAATGCATTTATAAATGAATAATTATAAAAGTACAGTTAAAGGAAACCACTAGGTAGCAAGGATGTGGAAACAACCCAAATGCCCGTCAATTCATGAGTGGATTATTAAAATTTGGTATATGTATACAATGGAATATTACTCAATTATAAGAAACGACAGTGATCTAGCACCTCATATATTTTCCTGGATAGAGCTTGAGCCCATTATCCGAAGTGAGGTGTCACAAGATTGGAAGAATGTGCTCCACATGTACTCGCCATCAAATTGGCACTAACTGATCAACACTATGGTGCTCACATGGTAGTAATATTCTCCAGGGATTAGGGGGTTGGGAGGGGTAAGCTCACAACTAATGGATGCGGTGAGCATTGTAGAGGGGAAGGGCATGCCTCTAAGCCTCGCTTGGGTGAGGCAAAGACAATAACTTTAGTTTTTATTTAATAGAAAGCCTTTGGTTCTAATGCAAGCCCCTCATAGCCAATTACTTGGAGATAGTAAATGAACTCGGAGTGAACTGCAAATGAATACTGGTCTGGACAAAGTAATATCTTACACATATTGATAAGAAATACATCAGCAGAGGCAGGGAAGTACTTTTTGATTGGAGTATTCTACTGCCCTTGTGTCAATTTCCAGGGCAGATCAATATCTGCATTTGCTTGATGTTACTACCAAAGCAGTTATTACTTTATTTACATAACAAGTGGGAATATTTGGGGTTTTTCATGACTCCAAAAAGAAACCCACCCACAATTAAATATCTATCCTCAACCCTGAAAGGACACATGAAACTTCCTCTGTCTTACTGGATCTCCATGATAGTATTACAAAAATTTTTTTTGTATGTTCCTTTCTCTAAATTTGCTAAAATTGGGATCTGATTAGAGATCAAAAATGTCTTCTACATAAAACAGGAGTTTTAACCTGGATCTCAGGAGAGTCACACATGAACTTCAGAGAGCTCAATGGCAAATTTTACATACATGTTAATTTCTTGGGGACTGGGTCTACAGTTTTTATTGGATATTCAAGGTGCTTCATGACCCCCAAATAGTTAAGAATTATTGCCATAACTCACAAAATGGTAATGCTAACATGGACACCTAAAGTTGTCTTATCTAACGTTCTCATTTTATAGAATGAGTAAACTGAGTTTTGAAGAGATTAAGTGCTTTTCAGAAGGTCTCACAACAAATTACTCAGTTTAGGCCAGAATCTAAATCACTTGATTACCATGTGCCATATTGCACTGCCTCCATAAGTAGATAGGTCTTCAAAATAAATAAGTAATTTTTTTAAAAAATTGGGGAGCTGGACCATAGTATTCATTATTTTCTGGACACTGAGTCCCTCTACAGGTTAGAATTCAGATTTCAGTTTATATGAGGTACAATATTTTTGAGAGCCAACCTTCCAACAGTTTTTCTGGGATATTCTATGTTCTTAGACAGCAGAGCATGACAAGAATCTCAAAGAATAAGGCTTTTCCAAAAAATTGATATTGTTTCCTGATTCTCATGAGGATGTCAATATATTTAATTATAGTAATGTCAGTTCTATAGATTCCTATCCTAACCATATAGATTGGGTAGAAAGAAGTGTTTTTAAATGAAAGAAATTTAACCAATCCCATCATAAAATATGGAGTTTGGGATGTAAACATACTCAAAGTGAAATGGAGAATTAGAAGAACTGCTTAGGTAATAGAATAGAACCTATTAAAAACTCATATATTTGGACTACCTAAATAATGAGGATAAGCACCAATATCCGTAACAAGAGACTTGGCACCTCTGTTTAATTTTGCTTCTCAACACACCATATCATACTCTTTAAAGCTTTTATGATTTTAACATATTCCCTCTGTAAAGGCAAGTGCTAAATGGAGCTTGCTTTAAGTTCACATTAGATCTTCTGATACCAGGGTTCTAATATTCAAAATCAAGGTATAAACATATACTAGTTCCAAACATAATCCTTAAGAGATTTCATTTATGTCTGAAAAGCAAATGTCTTCATATTCTCTAACAGAACTTGCTCAGATGATTTTATTTTCATAGTGTCTGTCTGACATGACTTTAGTTGTAAGTCAATATAGCCAATATGTGCCATTTACCTTTCCAAAGGTGGCCGCACAGGCTGGCTCCAATTTCTCTTTCCTGCAGAAATCTAAATAGTGTGCATAAAGAATGCACCGTGGTAAGCAAACTCCTTCACATACAATGTAATTCTCTTCAAGCCTAAGAAAAAAGGCCAAAAATTAGGTCAAATCTTTTCTTTACCGCTCCTTTTCTTTCCCTTTCTTAATTGACTTAATTCCCGTTTTGAATATAGACTTTATGTAAATAAGTTAATGAGTAGACATGAGTACAATTCCTTTTTTCTGAATATTTTTTAAAAATCAGATCACCGGTGTTAATGTTAGAAGAGTGAGAACCCCAGTGAACATCTGCTAGTGCATTCCTGCCATGCCTGCCTGGTCCACATCACAAATATTAGGTTTTACTTCTATACAAGCCTCATTGTTCACCATGGTTTGCTCTGTGATATATAAATATGAATGGTGAAATTGAAGATGATGGGTTTTTAAAAGAACATCCTCAACACCTAAGGGCTGCCATGCTTCAGGCTGGCAAACGCTTACATTCTCTCATCCTGAACCCTTAATAGTTAGGGAAAGATGGTGATGCTTTCATTTGCAAAATATATAAGGAGAAGCTCATTTTATGTAAGTCTAGACGATACTCATCTATTTCTATTCCTACACGTTTTACTGTGGTCAGTACTGTAATTATCTGAAATATCCTGTACATTTGAAACATAACGTTTCCATCTCTATAGATGGCTCCAAACATAACATATAAAACTTCAACTCTATATTATAAAAATAATTACATAAACTTTAAAACTTTAGAGTAATTCTATTTAATTTGTAATTAAGTATAATTTATATAAATGCAATATATATATATATTTATGTTACAACTATATGAACAGCAATCTAGAAATCAGAACTTCTATATTCTAGTCTCAGTTTTTCCAATAGTTCAGTGGGTAATTCTGGCTAAAATTTACTTATACCAATTCTATGTATAGTAAGATCATAATTCCAATGTAGGAACAATGCAATATAGAGTATGCATTCAGATTGAAATCGGGTGAAACCCTTCAAGACTTCTGATTTAACATATTTCCAATGTGCACAAGATAAAGGCTAAAGGAGGTATTCCCTTAGCAGGTAAAGTATTTCTATAAAGAAAAAACAAAGACCAAAACCCACTAAGAGCTAGTGTTTCAAAACATAAAACCAATTCATATGCATAAAATCAAACATCTAGTTGACAGTGAAAATTGGAATTAATCAGCCAGCTTTTTCACTTTGATTTTCAGTTCTAGTTGTTACACTCCCAAGATAATCTATAATCTTAAAGGAAAATACAAATAACTCAGTTTTTAAATGTATAACATTCATTATTTAGAAGATAGTGTGGAAAATCCAAACAAAAATGACAGTGGTTTATAGTTTTAAAAATATGAAAATTGTTATGAGAAGCATTTAGCTATTTAAAATTATATTTTAATTACACGAATATAATGTCCACTTTCATCTGGCTATTTTGATATTGTTGTAGGCATTGCCTTTGTCTTCAAAATATTGAGTAATCCTAGACATAACTACAATGTTAATTAGGGGTATGATTTTATTTCTTTAATCTTAATGTGCACAGATTTATAAAATAAAAACCCAAGGTTGTTTCCACTGACTCAATTTGAATGGAAAAAAGTGAGAGTGATCACTCAAAACACTTCAATAACATATCTGAAATCAAAACAATTTTGCCTCACTTATCCTAATGAAAATAGTTATATTCTAAATATTCTAGATAGTTAACTCAATTATTTACTGCTCTAGTGTATTCTTAACCAGTAATCATGACATTAACTTCAATAGTTAAACTATAACTTTAGGGGAATATTTGGTTTATATTTCAAATATTTGAAAGGGTTCAAGCATATAATCACAAAAAATAGTATATGCAAATTGTGATTTAACGTTTAAATAAATAAAAATAAAGTTTACTAAGTTTAGAGCCTATTTTTTCATTGTATTTTTCTAAGGTTTAGATTATCTTTGCATATAAATAGGTTATGTAATTAATCACCAAACAAGTAGCTCTTTATAGTAATTTGTTTATTACTTAGAATTTGGAAACAAATTTATATGCCTATTTCTTCCTACTATGTAGGGAAACTTAATATTATGTTTTTACTTTAGCTCCCTCTTTCTTTGAAATAAATATTACAACATGTTCTATGTTGAAATCCTATTGACATACTACTTTTCGTTTTAAAAGACTTTCCACAAAATCCAATTTGTGATATTTCATTAAAATAAATCACATATGACAGGTGCTATAAAAATAGTTGAATATCTGTAAGTTAATAATGATATCTTAACTGATTTTTCTATGTTTTCTACTTCAAATGCATTTTATCTTATGGCAAATACACTATTTTTAATTTGCCCTCTTATGGATAAAGCCAGTGCTAATATCCTTCCTCTTTTCAAATTGTTTTTAAAAATCATGTTTCATAAATGCAAAAACTACTAAATAACAAACATAAAAGGACCAAACTGATTGTATGTTAAGCAAGTAAGTCATGAAAACATTCATTATTACTTACATTTGAAGAAATTACGGTTTTAGTCAATAATGAACAAAGCAATGTTGTTTTTATTTGTATTGCAGATCATTTTTCATCGGTACTAGAATATGCCTCTAAACATTCAGTGAAAAAAAATTCTGGATTAAATTCTAATCAGTCTTTCAAACTTCACCAAAAAGTAAGAGGGAGAAGCAAACTGTGAAAAGCAAAGATCCTGAAGACACTAGCTTTGGAAACTTCACTTACTTCAGTGTACCCCTGTGGGCAAGTCTTACCACTGCAGCGTGAGCTGTGTCTGCTTCTTTTTATCCTTCATAATCTGCGTGATGGTTTTCTTCTGAGACAGGTGTTGATCGGCTGCTTTGGTTTTGCTGTCGTGATTGTCCGCATCCTCTTCTTCAGAGGAAAAGTTACCATCGTGCAAATGCATTTCTGATTACCAGTTGAAGGGATGATAAAGAAAAACAGAACATAAAAATTACCTAAGTAGTTTCTTAGTGCACCCTAACTTCAAAGGTGTAGCCCACTCGAGGGTGGGGAGGAGAAGAGCAGTGCAAAATCCCTTAGAGTTGATCTCCAGTTGACTTTTCCTGAGGAAATACGAAGATTTGGAGAGAACACTCTATATACCCTGTATGTATGTGTGGGATGTGTTCATTTTTGTTATTGGATGCCCTTCTTAGAACACATCGTCGTCCCAATCGCATCGCGGGATGGGGCACTCACCTGATTTAACTCCTACCGGCAGCTCCGGGGCTTCCCCTTTCTCCCCGCTGCCCTGCTCGCCCCCGGGCTGCGACTCAGCCGCCAGGTACGCTCTTTCCTCGGGATAGACGAGCAAGCCCTTGCCCAGGAGCTGCGCACAGCAGTCTTCCCGGATTTCAGGGGACAGCTGGGGCAAAGGCTGCGCCTTCAGCAAAGTGTCTTCCAGCTCCGGGACCTTGGCCATCCTCCTGGCCGCCGAGACCTCGGCACCCTCCGCGCGCCCGGCTCCCCAGAGGAGCCCCGAGCCCGGGGCGGGGCAGGGCGGGGCGGGGCCGGGCCGGGACCTGCGGCCGCAGGGGAGGGGAGGAGGCCACAGGCTCCAGAGTCGTCAGGCGTAGCTGAGAGACGGCGCCGTGCACAGGTACAGCTTACACCGCCCGGGCCGGGCCGCGTCTGCGTTTCCCCACCTGTCTGTGGTCCAGGCAGATGCTCCCCTCGGGACTCACTTGCTCACCTGCGCCCGTCACGCCCTGAGCAACGCAGACCGGCTCCCCGCACCCCTTCCACCCCCTTCCTCTCATTTTGTGCTGGGCGGAGGACAGTTTTCACACCCAAAGCTCCCAGAAAGATCGAGAAAGCTTCACTCTCCTCTGCTGGGGAGCAAGTCCCTCCAACTGTACCCATACCTACTATCAGGAGACAGGAACGAGGCACCTGGCCGGGCAGCTTTGACTCTGCACTCCCAGCACAGGCAAAAGAGTACTCCAGAGTACCGCTCGGTCTTTGCACAGCATAAACCCGGTTTTTATTCCCAGAATAATCCGAGGGCTCTTCTCAGTGGCTTGAGGAAAGATCCCATCTCATCCACACTGGCCTGCTCGCGGGCGCACAAGGGCTTGGGCTCTTGGGCTTTGCAGCCCTTGAGGATCTGGCCTCGAACTTGGAGGAAAGATACACTCCCTCCTATGTATGGTATTTTGTAATTTAAACGCGTCCCTGGTGATTCCTCATCTCTTATGCCTAGCGATAGTGCAGTGGACGTTCGCTTAAATGAAAAATGAAATTGCAATAATTTTCCAATCCAAAATGGCAAGAGTCACGTGTCGGGGGAAAAAAACCCGATAACCTGTGCTTTCTTTAAGCAGGAGCAGGCAGTGAAGACTTGGAGTTGGTGTTACCTGACTGCTACATCATCTTCCCTTCCTTCCATCCTTTGTTCTTTTGACAGATACTCCCTGTGCCTTTACATGCCTGGTGCTTTCCAGGAAAAACTTTAGTTCACATTGCCTCATCACAATCTACAACCTGTCATCCTCTCAGAGCATTAGAGAAAGAAATCACCCTTGAACTGTAATTTAATATTAAACTACATTACAGTGAGCTTTAACATAGAAAAAACAAAACGGGACCCAAGGTGGTGGGTGGCTGAAGGGTGAATTATGGGAAGGAGTCTAAGTAATACAGCCTGAGAAGCTGAAATTATAGGTGAGTTGGAACCTCTCCCATTTTTTAGCACCACTCCTTGGGGAAGGCATCAACTGTCAAAGGTTTTTTCCTTACCTGGTACTTCCAGCAGCTCAATCCAGGCTGGGGCTACCCACCCATCAACACACTTACAGCTCTGAGGCTATACTCCACAAGAGAACTTTGCCAGTCTTCTCTCTACACAGTCCCCTGAAAGCCTCAGAGCGTATTCAGTCCAGAGGGCTTAGTTCTGCAGTACTAGAGTTTAGACTGTTCCCCCTTTACAGAGACACTCTCAGATTCATTCTGCTCAGATCCCCTTGGATTCTGTTCACATTTTCTGAGCGCCTGTCCCTCAGTCTCTACCTCCTGTATGTTTCCAGTGTCCAGCCCCAAGACCACCACTTGAGAGCACCTGAGCCTGAGACTCTTTGGAGGAACTGCCCTTGGCTCCTGGACCACCATTGCCCATAGGCAGAGAGAGCCTAAGTACCTGTATGTTTATATACTCCCCGAGGTAGCCCTTAGCCAATGACTGGTGGTTAGGGACCCTGATTTCTTGCTGGATAAATCTGAGGTCCAATTTACAACTCAGAGCTCTTGTGGGGGATCAGATTGAAGCCATTCTCCACCGGAACATCCAGAAATCCCACTCTTGTTTGGCTTCTTCCTCTTCTCTGTACTGCTACTCCTGCTCCTTTACCATATATATATTTTTTATTTTGTTGTCCTTATTGCATATAGGATAATAGAGAAGTAATTGGGAATGGAGAATGAAGAGGAGAGAGAAAGAAAAGGAAGGGTCAAGAAATGGCTAAGAAGATTGGGGGAGGCAATTAAAAAAAAGAAATATAAAATAAAATATATTCAGTTGGTTAGAATTTAGAAGACCAAGTTGATGGGTTTGATTTCCATGTGACCAGAACCCTGTTGTTTTTTTTTCTCTTTCCATAACTGCAAATCAATGTAAAAGATAAATTAGTCTGGGGAAAATCCAAGAAAGGGATTTTCTGGGAGGCTATACCCAGATTCCAGCTGGTCAATGATCAGGACCAGGAAGGGAGTTACGTGGTTGGAAATGGGGTGAGTAGCAGGTGCTAATGTTATTTAAAGGAAGAATCAGTATCACTTGAGTAACAAATGGGAAGGTCTTGCATGGAAAGGAAAGTTACTTCCCAGATTGCAATTTTTAGGAAGTATCAGGAAAAAGAAGTACTTTCTATGTACATAATTTCTCAGCTAGTTGCTTTGACTCTACACCAGAAGTCACTGACAAACACAATTGCAAGATAATTTCACTACTTTTACCACCATCATTCCAAAGGCAGACATGTCTCTTAAGCCCAAAATAGGAACTTCAGCTCAAATTAGGGTTTGAAGGTAACAACTCAACCGTGAACCGAAGTGGCTTAAATGAGAGGGTGTGAGGCTGAAACCCATTCAAGTATCTAGACATTTCATTAGATTTTCCTTAGGGCTATGATGAGATACTCTTCTCCCCTTGTGACTCTCCATACAATAAACCCTAATGAATGACCGATTCTAATGTGTTCCTTTCTTATTCGATATGTTATTTTGAAAAGTAAAAATGTCAGGAGAGAGAGTATATAGGTGCTTATTACATTACTCTGTTTACTTTTCTGTAGATTAAAATTGTTTCAAAATAAAATTTTAAAAGCTGAATTTTTTTAATCATTAGCAAAAGTTGGCCTATGGTTGTTTGTAAGCAGAAGATATTTACATAATTCTAGGGATGCATATAAACACATAAAATATGTTAAAGCTTAGGAAATATATGTGTTTATTACAATGTTCCTGTTAAAAATAGAGAAAGTACATTTAGCATATTTTAATATTCACTCCTTTAGTTAAAGTAAGTCATTCTACTTTTTATTAAAAGTTATTTTGTTAAACCTTAACATTCAGTTTCTCCAGTAACCTTTGTCTTTCATGTATTAATAACCACTTACCTTTCTTTCCATTTCCAATTAAAGATAGTTTAATGTTCTTTTTTAGATTAATATAAAACTAATTGTATGTTTGCAATAGTGAAGAAAGAAAATAGATTAGGTTAGTCAGTGGACAAAAGTAAATAATATACTGCTTTATGTGTGTTTGATAACTGCTTCCCGTGTAAGTATTGTAATAAGCACATATAGTAAATGGTGAAAATATAAGCTACACATCAAATTAAATACTAAATATATATGTTAATCAGCAGCTAGTACATAATAGATATCTATTAGATATTTGTTACAAAAATGAATGGAAAGTGGTGGCAGCCCTCCATCTTCTCCTTCATTCAACCAAAAATAATTTATCATGACCTGGTGATTCAAAAATAAATAAGACATTGGCTTTACCTTCAATACTCTTGGTCTAGTGGAAGAGGCAGATATATTAGAAATACATGATAAATACATGATACAACATAGTAAATACAACGTAGTGGTATGTACACAGTGCTCTAGGAATATAGAGGCAAGGGTCCATGAAGGGCAAGCAGAAGCCTTCACAGAGAATGTAACATTTAATTGGTCTAGAAGGATTTGTATGCATTCACAGGTGGAATTGTGGAGAAAATGTATTCCAGGCAGAAGGAACAGAATGTGCAGAGGCACAGAGGCAAGGCAGAGGTGGTTGGAGGAATTAGTATTTGGGTCCAATTGGAGCATCATAGTACATAGAGAATCAAGAGCTTAGGTCAGATCTTGAGAGAGCTTGCTTAAGCTGAAAAAGGTATACAATTTTATTATAACTGACAAGAGAAAATCATTGAGGAGTTTAGGAAGAAAAATATGATACAGAATAAGTGCATTGTGGAGGAGGAAAGTTAGGAAGACCAGGTGATAAAATGAAGGCTTGGACTTGGCAATGGCAAGGAGGATAGAAAAAGAAGGAGTGATTAAAGAACATATTAAGGATGCACACATGGTGATTGTTGTAGATGGTTATAGTGTTGGCCCACAATAATTCACTGCATTTTCTATCCATGCCCTGGGGTAATACTTTCCTATCTTCACTCTGCGTTTGACTAGCAGTAATCACAAAAGCAGAGGCTTGAAAAACTCTTATGCATAGGTGCTTCATTTCTCTTGCTGATGCTGGAAATCTTGGGACCACCACCATGTGACTAAGCCCAGTCTAGCTTGTCAGAGATATGTCAAACTCATTACTCTAGCTGACAGAATTAACTACTAGCCAGAACCAACTGCCAGACGTGTGAGTAATATGAGCAAAGCGACTCTAAAATAACCAGTCTCCAGATGACCTGCCAGTGACTAGGGCTTCATAAGTGAGGCTTGGTGAAGCTCAGCCCAGCTGAGTCCAGACCAAATTGCTGACCTATATAACTGTGCACAAGTAAATATTGTTTTAAGCTATTAAAGTTTGGGGTAGTTTGTTACACAGCTAAAACTAATTGATACAGTAATGGATTGGCTTTAGCTTTGCATGTCACAAAAAGTTGGTTGAACTTTAGAGACAGTGAAGTTGCAGTAGCTAGTGGGAGAAGCAGTTTAGAGAATGAGTGTGGGGCAATATTTTATTTTTTGCTTTTGAAGTGGTTTTTGCTTACTTTTGATATTTTAGATGAAGAGGAATAGAGCTCAAAGATGAGGGAGACTTTGAATAATAAAATTTACTTCAAAGGGTTTATATGGAGAGTAAATGCAATAATATACACAAAAACATCAAATAAAAATAACTGTTACCTTATAAGTCTGTATATGTGTAAATTATATGTACTTTATCTTCTGTTTTGCTTTTTACAGAATTCACACAGGTGGATGTACACATACTAACAGATACACACATATCTCATTTTGGGGAGAAATAA